TATATATATAATCATGTATTCATGATAGAATTTCTTTCGTAGGTATTTGTACGACAATCCCATCGAACTGATTGAAGATAACGCTTTTTCTCATATGGCACCAATCTCAAATATGTAGGTATTTCCAGTGGCGGATCCAGGACTTTGAAATAGTGGGGGCCCAGGGAGGGACTTTCATAGATGGAGGGTCAACACCACCTTAGCCCCACCATAGATGTATAGTTGTGGTTGAGGTAAGAATATTTATGATACAGCACTACTAGATGGTCGTAAATGGCACTCTAAGACTTTGGGGTGGGGCCTCTCCGGCTGGGCCCCTTGATTGAGCCATTGTTTCCTTATACTGTACTACCTAAACTAAATATACGCACTAAATGTAAGTGAGGCTCGGTTTTTTACTGTAAGGTTTTACAGTAGTGTAGCTTTGATGTCGAAAAAACAAACACTACATGCACAACTACATGTACAGCCCCATAATCTGAAAGACAAGTTGTATTTACAAGGCATGAGTACACACAGGCACACATTTTTAATGCCTGCCACCACAACAGTTTCTCGCTCCTTTAAGCAGGAACTAAAAATTACAACACATTTGAATATATTACAATACTATACCTATCAAGGTAAAAGAAAACAAAATACAAATCACAAACTTGTTAGTGCTTCCATACAATGATGAAGGGGATACTTGAATAGACTAGGGAAGAATATATTATCTTCCCCTACCTGACTGAACTAATACAAAGCTTAATTTTCAGAGTTAAACTTGTTTTACAATTTGATCCAATATCTTGGTATTTTACAGATATTTTAGGTGTGAAAGCCTATTGAAGATCCCTCCAATATTGTCAAGAAACATAAATGCGTAACTATTATTACTATTATATTACATTATAATACAACCCAGCACTGGTTTAGAATAACTGTTACTTTGAAATACTGTACCATTAATTGTATTGAAATTGATTTATCAATAGTTAGTTTCAAAATAATGTATACGTCTGTTATGATGTTTTGATTTTCTTCAAATTCTATTACCGTCCAAATCTGTGGGTGGTCAAACGTGAAATATTTTAAATAAATTACATATACTGTAAGAAATTATAATCAAATTCTACATTAATGAAACGTAAGGATATCTTCTCGTACTTCCAGAGTAAACAAATAGACAGGTCTTCCGAACTAAAGTATTTGATAGTGGAACCAAACGGACGCAAATTGATGAAAAACAAAACATATTTTAAGAAATGAACTAAGGATTTAATGGTATACATGATTCGGGTGTTCTCTGCAACCAATCATCAGTACAAACGGAGAAGCAAAACGAAAAAAAAAAAAAAAAAAAAAAAAAAAAATCGTCATTCTTAAAAAAAAAAAAAAAAAAAAAAAAAACTCGTCATTCTTAACTAAGAGATATACAATGAATTAAATGAATATTAATGAGTTAAGCCAAAGTATTACCAATTAAGGTAACGAACGATCGTTATAATCATATGTAAGGTGTGTTTTGCATTCTTTGCTTTAATTTATGGCTAGATGTTTTAAAATGTGTGAATTTTGTCTTTGCCAAGGTGTTAGTCAATCTTAGTAAACCCTTCTAACTTCGATTATCACTCACAATTATAACTTAGCTAAATATTTAAGTGAGCTCATCAAACCTTGTATTACCACATAATTTAGTAAAAAGACACTTTCAGCTTTGTTAAAGGAGTACGAAATTTAAATAATAAGAATGTGGTTTCTTTTGACGTAGAGACCATGTTTACAAATATTCCTCTTAAAGAAACTATTGAATTTCTGTAAACACAATAATTTGTCACAACCAAGATTTTAAAATGTCTAAAGTAACATTAAACAAATTACGGTACTTTTGTTAGCTACGATGGGAACACATTTCTTGTTTAAAGGAAAATGTTTTGAACAAGTAAATAGGGTCAGTATGGGATCCCCACTAGCCCTCATACTAATGGATCTATTCGTGGGAACCAATGAAAAACTATGGCTCTCTCCCAGGAAACACAAAACGTTCTTATAACGTTCGCCAATATTGTGGTTAGGTATGTCACAAAATGACGTTCACACAACGTTTTAAGAACGTTCAAACGTTGTGACATTGTGAAATTAGGTTATATGTACGTACATATGGTTCTACAAAATAACGTTTTTATCACCAAACTTTAACTTATTATAACATTCTTATAACGTAATATCGTTAGCTGGGCTTATCCTAAGTGTCCAAACATTTTACATTATCGTAGGTTTGTTGATACATTTTGTGTTTTCAATAACCAAAATGACGCCACAGAGTTTTTCGAATTTATTAACTCAGACACCCTATCTTCACAATGAAAAATTAAAATTGCAATAAACTCAGTTTTTAGACGTTCTTATACACAAAGAAAATGGTGGCCAGATTATAACAACGGTATTTAGAAAAAGCACTTTTACTGGTCTCTTCTTGGCATTTTGTAGTTTTTGTCCATCATCTTATAAGCTGAGACTTATCATAAGTCATAAGTAATCTTTACTCATTCTCAAGGAGAAAATTCCTTTGCTCGTCTTAGTAATTAAATACAAAGTTAAAATACAGGTAAAAAGAAGAAAGTCATACACACCCAAACCCATAAATATATAAAAGATACCGATAATAAAACTGAATCATGGACCGAGCTTATCTAGGGAGATTTATTTGCCACTGTCTGATACCTTCCGGTTGAAAGGAGAGGAGATAGCGGTTTGTGTAAGCACCCCCAGATCTCAGTCTCCCACTTCAAGCACTTCTGAAACTGACCAATTCAGAATGTAATGGATGACTTTCGTCGTCCAACACAACTCCGAACAGTCTGTTCAGATACTCGATATAGACTGAGTCTATGGACTGCTGGCCCAAACTCATCATCCTCTCTACCTTTCTGACCACCTGAGTTATCCTTTCTTTATCCCCACTCCGTTGCTTTCCCCTCCCCCCCCCCCCCCACCACCAATACAATATTTCCAAACACTGACCAAAATAGACTGGTAAAAAGTAATCATGCTATTATTATTCACCTTAAATTTATTCAGTTTTCTGAAACAATACATTCTCCGAATTAATTTTCTTCTTTACGTAATCAATGTGGTTATTTATTGTAAAAGCAACCCCTAAGTACTTATACGTTTCCACCCTCTCAATTTCCCAACCATTTATCTCGACCAGTTCACAATCTTTTGTCTTCCTTCTAAAGTCTATGACCATTTCCTTTGATTTTTATGTTCAATACTAAAAAATTATCTCTGCTACACTTAACAAAATTATCAATTTCATTTAAGTACTTAGTGTGATCATCTTTCTTAATCAAACCAATCACCGCAGTGTCGTCTGCGAACTTTACCACATGGCATGAAGACGACCAGGATCGGTAATCACCAGTATATAAAGTAAACAAAAATGGGGCCAAAACAGTTCCTTGTGGTGCACCAGTATTTTAAATATTAATATCAGAACAAACAGATGGACTGAGCTTAACGTATTGTGATCTGTTAGTCAGAAAATTTAGAATAAATTAAATAATTTCATATGGGATAAACATCTTACACAACTTATCAACACGTAAATGGGTCTGAATGGTGTTAAATGCAGAGGAAAAATCATAGTACATAATCCGCGCCGTATTGCCATACTTAGTTTTATCATGGAGGTATTATTGAGAAGGAGATCACTCGGCAACAGATCCCTTTGACGCGACAAACCTATGTGTTCCCCGCTTTTGGATCGCGCGCGGGCGTATTACCCTATAATTCAC